CTCTCTCTCCTCTCTCTCTCTCTCTCTCTCTCTCTCTCTCTCTCTCTCTCTCTCTCTCTCTCTCCACAAATATCAGAAAAAAAAAGAAAGCCCTTCTCATTATATTTCAAACCTCCTCATCACTCATTGCCAGTAGCTTGGTTCTGTATTTTTGGAAGAAATGAAAACAACCAGAAAATTACTTCCAAGCATCTCATGTCCACTACCCACACCAGCAAGAATACATACTGCCTTCCTTCTCCTTTGTGTAGATAAAAGGTCTGTGCTCTGAGCACAGGCTACCCTCTCCACTTGGGCACCATGGCTTCTGCTCTCATGCTCAGGGCACTCAAGTCTCCCATCTCCACTGGAGCATCCTCACTGACACTAGTGTGCCATGTTATTTCTTCTACCTTGAAAGTTCCCTCAGACCCCACCTCTATCCGGCTCAGGCTCCTCTGTCCTCCTTGTCCCCAGTGACCACTCCTTCATAGTCTTACTTCTGGTCTGGCAGGCTTTCATCCCCACCACTCTACCAAACCAGGGATGCTCATCAGCAACCTCTATGTTGGCTCATCCAATGGTTAATTCCCCATCTTCACATTCATCAACATACCTAAAGCTGCTGGCCACTGCCCACCTTGAACATGTCTACCTGGTTGCTTCTATAAGACACTCTCTTGACTTTCCTTGTCCCTTGATAGTCACTTTACTGGTTCCTCATTACCCAAACTCTTGACACTGGAGTGTTCAAGAATGCCAGTCTTTGTCTGTGCCTATGTTCTCTGCGTATTCACACTCTTGGTAGTCTCCTGCAAGCTCTGCTTCCATACCCCTGCAACCTTATGATCCCAGATTCCCATCTCCCCTAAACTGCATCCTTGTCCATCTAAAAATACCATTAGTTCTACTTAAACAGCTAATTGTCATGTCAAAGACAACAGGTGTAAACCTGAGGTCATTTTAGTACCTGATGCCTTTAGGTGTCCACACTCAGATTTCAAGTATTTCCAAATAAACGTTTCACCACAGTGCAGCATATGTAAAGAAAATTGCACCAACGGGAAGGTCTGTGCTTGAGAAATTATCTCAAAATGAACACACCTCCATAACCAACTCCAACATCAAGAAAAGATCCTTGCCCAGGGCTCACCTCATAAGCTCCAACTGTGTCCCTTCCCAAAAGCTAAGAAATAACTATGATAGCTTTGCTCATGATTAAATGTACACACACTGATCTGATCAGTAAGTTATGGCTTATTTTGGTTTATTGTTATAGGGAGTTGTGGTATTTTGTTGTTGTTGTTGTTGTTGTCATTTTTGTTTGTTTAGCAGCACTAGGGGGTGGAACTCAAAGTTCTGTGTGTGTTATACAAACACTCTACCATAGAGCTATATACCTAGCCCTTCCTGTTATTTTCAACATGGCCAATTTACACATGACAGGGACTTGCTGCCTCTTGAGGCTCACTGGGCAACAGAACATGAGCTACAGTTCACAGGCCTCCAACACTGTGCTTCTCTGAGGCCTAAGTGATCCCTGGAAAGGAATGTTTTCTACACAGCAGAGACCACTTAGATTGGGTGTGAGATGACCCCCTACCATTCCCTGCTTCCTGAGATTCATCTGTCTGTGGAATCTTCTTCCAGATTATTGGCTGACCTGATAGCCTGCTTCTGTCCAACAGAACATCACAGAAGTAGGGTGGTTTAGCTATGGCGACTGGGTTTTCACTTGCTTTGCTCACTTGCTATCACTGTCTTCTTCCTTGCTGTGATAAGTCAGCTTCTCAGCTGCGAGCTGCCCTGCATAGTCTACTTGACAAGAACCTGAGGTCAGTCTCCACTCAGCAGACAGACAGCAGCAGACATGCTCAGAGCCATAAGCTGCAAGGAACTGAATGATGCCAATTCTAACATGGGAACTGAGAAAGCAGACATCCCCCAGTGGAGAAATGAAGAGCCTGGAGGACACCTTGATCACACACTCACACAGGAGCTAATGGAAGAATCCCATGTCTAATCCATGCCCAGACTATAGAGCCACAGAAATTCTGGCAGAATAAATAATTCTTACTTGAAGCTCTCAAGCTTCGAGCTAACCATGAGACCTACCCTACTGGGAGAAAAGAAGTCACTGAAGTCATCCATTACATGGCCTAACTATGCAGAGCAACAATTCATAGGAAACTAGAGAGGCTGGTAAATGTTTTTGATCCTTTTTGTCAGAGCACACAGGGTACTGTCAAGGTCTAGAATCTCCAATCTGTTGCTCTATGGATTCTAGAGTCACAGTCTTCCTCTATCATGTCCTGAGCTACCCATAACCCCATTGACTTCTACTTCCTGCTGCTCCCAACCTAAACCCAAAAAGATCATCCCCAATAGATGTTCTACCTCCATGAGGATCTTTCCTTCATCTTCCCCATATTCTAACCTCTTACTCATGAGCTAGCCATCAGCTAAACATAGTGACCCTAGATTGGGTCACTTCCATCCTCTGGACTATTAAAGCCCTCAAAGCTTGCATCCACTACGGTACTTATTGTGCTGCATTTCAGCCATCTGTTTTCCTGTCTCCATTGTCCTGAGCATCCCACTCTACGGTTACAGTGACCTAGGATGGTGCCTAGTACACAGTAACATTCAGGAAACAGTTCTCCAATAATAAAGTCATTCATCCTACAAGATGGTAAAAATCTCAACATTCTCTGGCATATTACACTGACTAACCCAACACGTTAATCAGCTCTGCACACACCACGAAATGAGTGCTAGTGGTATCTTTTCATCATTAACTATTAGAGAATTTCTCTGAACTTGGAGTTTCTTTGTAAAACTGAACTGTTCCTTTCCTTGCCCTTTCCAGCCTCGTTTCTGCAGATTTTTGCGATGCCTGGTTTTTCTCTTGACTAGCTTGGATGTCTGACTACCCAGAACACTCTCAGCTATCTCATTATTGTCTTCATGGCTGGTGACATTTCTTCCTGGAAAGGGACTCAAAATTTTTAACATGAAAGGACATGTGTACTTCAGAATTGAACTGCGGGCTCCAGAGAGGCTTTTCAGAAGCATGAATCTTCTGCTAATTTAAGATGACTACAGAGCACCCTGCCCTCCGCCTGCTGGTATTACAGTCTCAATGCTAAAATGAGATGCTCCTGTTGTGAGGAATCCTTCATTCGGGGAAGCTGTGGAAACAGCTTCAGTATGTCCCCTATTCCCATGTGACAACATCTGCTGGTTTATTGCCACAGAATGTATGCCTTCTGCTGCCTGGCTCTCACCACACTTCTCAGCTGAAATGCCTAGAGTTGACAATTAGAAAATAATCTCCTGGCCAGGTAGTGGTGGTGCACGCCTTTAATCCCAGCACTCAGGAGGCAGAGGCAGGCAAACCTCTGAGTTCAAGGCCAGCCTGGTCTACAGAACGAGTTCCAGGATGGCTAGGGCTACACAGAGAAACCGTGTTTGAGAGAGAGAGAGAGAGAGAGAGAGAGAGAGAGAGAGAGAGAGAGAGAGAGAGAGAGAGAGAATATTCTCCTGATCTAGTAAAACACATCGATGGTGCCCTGAATGAGTCAGGTGAAACCCTTATTTCTATTACTGTTTATTTTTGCTGAAGAGACAGTGATGGCAGATGGCTGCAGAGGAATAGTACTTCCTGGACATGAACACATAAACTAACAGCAATCGGACTCTATGCATAAGACCCAAACAAGATCAAGCTCATCCCAAACCCCATCATGGACCCAGAAGGAGCTCATACGTTTCACCCCTAGCTGAAAAGATTTAGGCAATTGAGGGCTGAGCGGGGAGGGAGAGTAAGTTGACTTCGGGGATACGGCCCCTGAGTGGCTACCCATGCTCTGGTTGAAGGTCCTAGCCTATGCACATACCAGCAGCACTAAGTACACTTGGTGGGCTTTAAAACAGAGACAGAAAGCACACATGGCTGAGTGGGAAAGTGGTAGTGGGAGAGGGATGGGGGAGGGAAAGGGGTGGGTTTTGATGGAAATATATGAGTGTATGAAATTCTCAAACAATAGAAAGTTTTAGAGCCGAGTGCTGTGCTGGACACAAAATTACAAAAACCAAATTACACACAGTCCTTCTTTGCTCTCTGGGATTTGGGGATTCAAACGCTGAATCAGACTGAATGTAAGATTGAAGCCTGCTATGTACGGATGCTGCGGTGTGAGGGATCCGGCGCTTTTAAAAGGTCACAGCCGTCCCACTGTGAGGAGGTTACTTTCTCTGCTCTTTCCTCCTCCCACACAAGTGTTCTGAGATGGCCATGAGTCTCTCTGCAGTCAGCCTTTCTTTGCCTGCCCTGGCTCCCACCTCCAGGTATCCCAGACTGAGACATCCTCCCCTCCTGTCTCCCAGGTAGCACAGTCTGAGACTGCCTCCCCTCTGGCCTCCCAGGTATTCCAGACTGAGACATCCTCCCCTCCCACCTCCAGGTATCCCAGTCTGAAACTTCCTCCCCTCCTGTCTCCAGGTATCCCAGATTGAGACAGCCTCCCCTCCGGCCTCCCAGGTAGCCCAGTCTGAGACATCCTCCCCTCCCGCCTCCCAGGTAGCCCAGTCTGAGACTGCCTCCCCTCTGGCCTCCCAGGTATTCCAGACTGAGACTGCCTCCCCTCCAGCCTCCCAGGTAGCACAGTCTGAGACAGCCTTCCCTCTGGCCTCCCAGGTAGCCCAGTCTGAAACTTCCTCCCCTCCCACCTCCAGGTATCCCAGACTGAGACTGCCTCCCCTCCCGCCTCCCAGGTATCCCAGACTGAGACAGCCTCCCCTCCCACCTCCAGGTATTCCAGACTGAGACATCCTCCCCTCCCGCCTCCCAGGTAGCCCAGTCTGAGACTGCCTCCCCTCTGGCCTCCCAGGTAGCCCAGTCTGAGACAGCCTCCCCTCCAGCCTTCCAGGTAGCCCAGTCTGAGACATCCTCCCCTCCCACCTCCCAAGTAGCCCAGTCTGAGACTGCCTCCCCTCTGGCCTCCCAGGTTGCACAGTCAGAGACTGCCTTACCTTTAACGTGCTGTTCAGGGTTCTGATCTTGTGAAGCTTCTCATTTATGGATGGGTTCTTGCACCGCTTCACAAAAGACTTTCTCAGCTCCTTCTTGGTTGAAGGTCGCCGGTCCCCGAGAGGAGACAGACTAGCTTGCTCCAATGATTTGTAGAGTTTCTCCATCTCATCATCCTCAGATACTTTTATTTCTTCTGTTTAAAAAGAACAGTATCCACAAAGCCAGTTAAAAACCAAAGAGCACACATCAGACAGAGCGGTCCTCAAGCATTCCTGTTCACACCTTCATCTCAAACTTCTGGTCTCCAGAAGCGTAAAGCCATGATGTTCTGCTGTCTGGACATTCATACCATGCGACTTTGCTACTCAGGAGACCAGGAGCCATTTAAAGACCTGTAATTGTAACCTATTCTAATAAGACCACACACTGACTTATTGCTTGGAGACTTTGGGGGTACAGTATAGGACTTCAATGTTACAAATGTTTGTAATACTGACACAATTTAATCCACTTCTAGGCCTTTAAAATCCATATCCTTCTCAAGCACAAATCCCATGCATCTCATTCTAACATCTCCTAAAGTCTTAAATCAGTTCCACATCCATTCTGGTCAGTATCACATCCAAATATCCTCAAAGTTAGGTACTGAGAGGCTCAGAGAGAATTTGTCTGGGTGCAAAATTCCTTTCTGTTACTGAAGAAGCAGATATATCACCTTACAGACAAGCCCTGCAAGCTAATGTTTACCACCAAGTCTGAACACCTACTGCCCTGGTGCTTCCCGGTGTTTTCTGAGGAAGAAGCCTGCCCGTTGGCTGGTTGTAGAAGACAGTTATCGTTTCTCACTCTGTTCCACACTATCTGCCCCTTTGAACTCCACCTATCTGGCCTCAGCCCACCAGTCTAGAGAGCAGTGAGCCTGGGCAGACTACTAAGAGATAGACACAGGTAGGCCAGTGGGGACCAGGAAGACTCAGTTCTAGAATATTTGTTTGGGGGTGTCAGAGATGCTTTCTACATTAAAAAAAAAGAGTAAATATAGTAGTAAGTGGGCCAGAAGTTTCCAGGAATCCTCCCAAGAATTAGAGTGGAGCCAGTGCCCTCTTGGAGCCCTCTCAACCTGAGAAACCAGTGTGTTCCCCTTGTGAGGCAATGCTGAGTATGACTTTCAATCGTTGGTCGCCATGGGGACCTTAAATGACAGCATCAGCTCCTGAAGGAAATATTGACTCTCTGCGTGGCTTTTATTTCTCATAGACAATTTCAATTCATTGTTCTTTGTTTCCTAAAGAACAATCTTGGGGAATATGCACAAAGAGATTCCTTACCCAACAAACCCCTCAGTGTGTGTATCTCCCCTCCTGTGCTGAGGGAAAGATTCAGAGAGAGCCCTACTGAACGGTATGATCATGGAGTGGGGCTGAGCAAAATGGGCTCTGAGGCAGACACACAGGCTAACGGAGGAATACCAGAGCCCAGGAACTCTGATCACATCACAGTTTATTCTTCTGTAGATTAGAAGCCCTTCAAAAGGAGCCTTTGTCCCTTTACCTCAGGCAGTTACTATGAGTTGTCCTCAGTACTTGCCTGACACGGAGAACAACATCTTCCTAACAACTGGCTTAAAGTGTTAGCCAGAATATTTTTTTTCTTTTGTTTGAGATTATATCTCACTATGTAGCCTCAGCAAGCTGGAACTGGTGATGTAGACCAGACTGTCCCAGAACACACAGAGATCAGCCTATCTCTACTCCCTGAGTACTGAGATTAAAGACATCCACCACCACTCCTGACCCAGACCAACTTCTTGTCTCCTAATCCAATGGTCTCCTATCAAAAAAGGGAGGAAAACATGTAAAAAAAATATGACTAAAGACTTTTTAGCTTGGGTACTGTGCAACCATCAAAAGCCAACTTTTGTCAATAAACTCAATAAAAGAAATCCCCATGGATGATCACTAGGAAAATGAAAATTAAAACCACAGAGGGATGCTGTGTGGAATTATTGGGATGGCTAATATAAAGAAGACAGACAGTAGTTAAGAGTGTCCAAGGATGTGGAGAGATGGAAGCTTTCATTTACCACTAGTGGGAATGAAAAGCAAGTCATTACAGTAGAAAGTAGGTTGATGGTCCTCAAGATGGTATAATGCCAATAGGACCCTGCAATTCCACCTCTATATTAAAGGGAAATAAACACACGTCCCCACATCCGTTGTACATAGCTACTTATAACAGCATTATTCAGAAGCAAAAGGGAGAAGGACATAAGTAAATTTTTATCAATGGCTGAGTGGAAAAAGGGAATGTGGTGTGCACACACGAGAGGACTATCCAGCAACTTAAAGAAATGGAGTGCTAAATCACCCACCACATCACACCATGGATTAAACTTGGAATCATCATTAAAAAAAAAAAAAGTCACAAAAGACCACAGAGTCTACCGTGTGAAATATCCAGATCAAGCAAACTCACAGAGACAGAAAGGCACCTGGGAGCCCAAGACACAGACAGGAATGAGGAGTGCCTGTGATGTGCAGGGCTTTCTTTTTATGGAGTTGAATGTTCTCTAACCAGGCTGTGGTGATAGCTGCACAGCTCTGTGAGGAAACTACAAACCACTGAACTATAAATCTGAGGCTATGTGAAGCATGTCACTATAGTGGTAAAGACTAAAGGAGGCTCTTATAAGGTATCATGATAGGAGGTGATGTGTTCACAGAAAAACCCTTAAGCCCTAGAGATAATCTAGAGATTATAAAAGTCTTTAAAAAAAATGGAGCCAGACACTATGATCCTAGCAGTTGGGAGGTAGAGACAGGAGACTCTCAAATTCAAGGTCAGCCTGGGCTATATGAAAGATCTTATTTCACAGAAACAAAGGCAAAGACATATAACTCCTAAAGAAGCATTAGGATTGAGAACTTGTCACAGACAAAAGGACACATAACCTGGTATGCCCTCTTTTTCATAGCCAGTCAGGTAGTACTCTATCTAAAAACTCCTAACTGTATTTATTTCATGAATAACATTTGCAGAACACACTTTAATAAACAAGCAAATGTGTGAAAAAGCTAAATAAAAATTGTTTCATTGAATTTCTTTGTACTCACCAAGCACTAGCTACTAAAGACAGAGATAAAAGCACAATTTGCTTTTCATGAATACATTACGTGGATAATTATGCCAGGGCAAAATTGTAGTAAGATAATTCATCTGGCTCAACAGATATTAAAGCAGTTAAGATAAAAATAACCTTAGAGGTTTGGGATAATGAGGCACAGAGTGTGTTCTTCAAATAAAAAAAAAAATAGGATTTTTTGGATAATTTTTATTATCTTTTAACATACTTACATAAAATATATAATGTTTATGGAGTCCAGTCAAAGAGAGGGAAGAGGGATTATATTAGCAAAGGGGGGGGGGGGTCAAGATCATGATGGGGAAACCTACAGAGACAGCTGACCCGAGCTAGTGGGAGCTCACAGACTCTGGACTGACAGTTGGGGAGCCTGTATGGGATTGAACTAGGCTTTCTGAATGTGGGTGACAGTTATGTAGCTTGGTCTGTCTGTGGGGACCCTGGCAGTAGGACTAGAATTTATCCTTGGTGCATGAACTGGCCTTTTGGATACCCATTGCCTATGGTGGGATACCTTGCTCAGCCTTGAGGCAGCAGGGAGGGACTTGGTCTTGCCTCAACTTCGTATGCCAGACTTTGCTGACACCCAATAGGAGGCCTTATCGGAATGAGGAGTGAATGGAGGGGTGGGGAAGGGGGAGCAGGAAGAGGAGAGGGAGGGGGAACTGTGGTTGGTATGTAAAATGCAAAAAAAAAAAATTTAAATATCAGAAGCTATATCCACCCCTCCCCACCCCATACACACATATCTTTCCCTAGTTTAAACTTGGCGTTGTTATGGTAAGGAGTGGGTGTGTCCAGTTAAAGACCATCTGGAAAAATAAAAACAAATCAGCAATCTGGTTCTTCTTCCTCAGCAGAAACCAGAACCTGAGAGGCTAATGTCAGACCTCTAATAATACAATTCTGAAATGATTCACAAACTTACAGGAAATGAAAGGGCAGACAGTACCATTAGGAGTAAAGAAAATACATCATTGGCTTCCCAGCATGTCCTAATCTAAGAGATGTACGGTGTGTTACCAGACACCCAGGGGACACATCTGTGACTCAATCTAGTCCACAGCCCAGACAGGGGATTTGTACTGTTTTTACCGCTGTTAGAGGCCAGTGCTTTCTTTGGTCATTGTTGCCGGACCATGAAATGAACACCCAGTAATAAAAGAAGCAGGTGGTAAATGGAAACACGGGATAAAGGGGGACCCAAAGCTACACAGGCATGGCAATACAACTTGCCCCTGACCACAGTAGAGGAGAGATGAGTCCTTCTGAATCAGTATATCTGCTCTATGCTGCTGGGTCACCCTCCAGGTACCGATGTACCGTGACCTGATTGATTGCGATATGAACTCGGGCTTTGCCAATTAAGCCTCTCTGGATTAGTATTTGAATATTTATTTTATTTTATGGGTATGAGTGTTTTGCCTGCATAAATGTATATGCACCATGTGCATGCATGCCTGGTTCCAGCAGAGGTCAAAAGAGGGCATCAGATCCTCGGGATCTGGAGTTGTAGACAGTTGTCAGCCCCCATGTGGATGCTGGAAACCTAGCCCAGGTCCTCTGCAAGAGCAACAAGTGGTACTCTGAAGCTCTGCGCCGTCTCTCCAGCCCCTCTAGGTTAGTCATGTAGTAAAATAATGTTAACATCCCTCTCTGCAAACATGCAGTTCTTTTCTGAATTATAATTTCATTCTAGAAAGCACCGGGCTTACCTTTCTTGTCTTACCAGATTGCAGAGATAAAGAGGAAAGGGTTGGCAGGAAAGATCCCTCGACTCTCCCCCATTGGAAATGGAAGCCAAGCGCATTCTTCCCACCTCCCTTATCTCCCGAGACAAAACAAATAAATTTTGTCAGTGAAGTGTCTCCTCTCAAGTGTGTACCATAGTCTTCCCACGTGGAGCAGCAGAACTTCAGTTCCCACTGACACATGGGCACCTTATGGTCTTCTGCCTCTCAACTTACTAGTGCTTTGCCAAGATTGAAAGCATTATCTCAGGGACGAGGGAAGTAGAGAGTCCTGAAAAACAGTCAGTGATTTTCCCCCCA